TTAAAATTTGCTTCAACTAAAGCCCAAAGCTCCAAATTCATCAATTTCACCGCATCTTCAACTAATCAAATACATAGTATATATTTTACTTTCTGGATAATTAACACTACATAGACTATGTGAGCAGAACTTCTATAGGACATAACAACATGAATAATCACAATATTGTGGAGGATTGCCTTATTGTTGTTATCTACAAAAACAATCAACTGGAGTGTGTAAAGTTCATATGGTAATTTGCTTACTATATAATATTCTTCCAATCCAAGTAAAACATTTGATTCTAGAACTTACTTTAAGTTTCATTAAATTCTATGAATCTTTCCTAATTTGACTTGGAAGCATCTAGGCTCTTCATTGCTCAAAAGCACTGGTCCTCTTTGTTCTATAGTTATATACTTATATTGGAGATAGTGCAAATGTGTTCGCTGTATGGGCTCACTTACTCATCATTTTCTTTTGACAGTTTTAAGGTTCTCAATTGGTTTTATTGCAAATTAAATTCCAAAATCATATAAAGTTGATCTCATCACTTTTATGACTTTGTGACCAAAAAGTTGTGTCAATGTAGAAGTAGATAAAAATTTCACCAAACCCTCAAATTTACATCGATTGTTTTTATAACTTAGCCTTTTATATAAAAGTGTATAAAGGTTTATTGTAGCATAGAGATGACCAAGTCTGTTTTATATGAAAATACACATTTAGAGAAATTTGTTTTTGATAGCCATATCATTTGGTAAATTTCAATAAGATTTGTTATTAACACTTTGTAGCAAGTATTTCAAAACTCATTGAATAAAGAAAGAGGATTAATAAAGAGATCAATGTGAGTACTTCCTTATTTGAGAAATAACTAAAGTCCTTAAATGTGGAAAAAAAAAAAACCACTATATCAGCCAAGTCTATAATTTTAGAATTGCATTTTTCATAAACATTACCCCCAACCCATTATAAATGTACAAATTTATATTACTTGTTTGCCATTTTCTAAAGTGCTTGTACCTTTTAAACTCTAGCAAAACCATTTGTGCTTATTATGGTGTTCAACTTGAATACATTTCTCTGTGCATTCATGTAAACTTTATTCCTAATGGAAAAGGCAACTCTTCTCTCATTTAAAAAATACTTTATTTATACAACCATTATAGATAGATCTAATACTTCATCAATTTGATTATGCTTTGTTACTCATGAAATTGTAAAACATTGGTGGTGTTGAAAATCCTAATCCAACCTAGTATATATTGTTTAGTAGTGTTTAAAAAAGAACTCAAAATGGCATCTCTCTCAAATAGTTATATTTACTAATACAAGGAGTTAGTAAATAGTGAGCCAAGGGAGTTGACAAGAATATTTTGATACCCTAAAGAATATAAATAATGTTTACATCTGTTTAACTTACCACCATCTAATCTTTGTGGCAGAGGCTTTGGTTATCACCTAATTTAGAGAATAATTTATTAATTTAATATTCAATAATTAGTATTCATACTGATTGTTTAAGCTATATATTCATATTAAGTTAATACAATACCAATATCTAGTTTTTTCACCTTATGTTCAAGCATTATGATGAATTGAAAGTTTAACATTTAGATCCATAATATGCAAAGGATGAAAGACTTTCAAAGTTTAACGTTAAAAGAAGTATATGCAATTGCAACTTAGGAATTGGTTGATTATGATGTTGTGAAGATTCCCATTTACAATATCACTTTCTTAACTGAAAACTATATACTTGTGATTATGGTATTGTTGATTGATGTTCATATTTACTTTTTAACTCTATTGCCTTTGAGTATATTGTCTTTGCTTTCTATGACCAAGTATTTGTAATCTTCATATGTTTGTTGTTTCTCTTCTACTAATACAAAATCAGGAAAGATTTAAAGAACTTGAATTGTAATTATGAAGTTTGTATATTTGTACAAGACATTGTTGAAAGAACAATATAACATCTAATCTACAACAAAATGTTGGAAAAACGTAAGTCCCAAGTTTTATATTGGTTTAATTATATAAGTTTGGAGAAAAAAATTCTATATATTAATGAGTACATGAGTTAATGAAATAAGCTTGTCTAAGTTTAAGTGACCAAACACCATAGATCTATAATTGGTTTGCTTAAGCGAACTTGAAGTGGTATTGAATAAACTTTGAATATGCTTGGATATTCTAGGATATTCTACTATTTAATGGTTTATATTAATCTATTTTTTATAATTTGTGAACATGTTTATAATTTATAAAATCTTGGAAAAAACTTTCTAGTATATTCTTTTCTATTTCACTATTGATATGCAATAATATTAATCTTGGTTTATAAATTATAAATATTTTTATCATTATTTCTCAATTAAATTATTACTACTATCTAGTAAACCAAGAAAATTATTTATGAGATAAGTATTTTCTCAAATATTTTTATCTCTTCACCATGCTAAGTTCTCTTGTTTTCAGGTACCATATTTGTTTGGGTTTCATTGATGGCTCCATCAACCTTGCATCACACTCTTTCCTCACAAAGCTTACTAACAAGTTTCTGAGAAAAGCTTTTCTCTCATTTTGATTACATTCTTTGGATCCATGAGATTAGAGCATATGCCTTCAGTGATACGATGGAGTTCCCTCATTCTGACACAGCGCTCCTACTCAGGCAACTCCCAGGCACCTAAATGAAAAGTAAACTTCCAAGGCAACATGAGTAACACCTCCTAATACCCTCTCCACAATAAAATTGTATGTCCATTCCCATCCATGTCATTGATGAAAAAGTCAAAGAAGAAGATACTTACCATGTGTAAAGAGATAACCTCCAAAGCCTCCACAGCTTTTCATTGCCAAGCTTCAGTTTCCTCAAAACAGCTTGAAGATAGGGATTTTTAACTAGCTCGACCATCTTGGCCTAAGAATTGCATAAATGAAGTACCTTGTGAAGGCTATAAGACGAAACAAAAAAGCTATGAACTAGTGAAAAAACTATAGTACCTATGACCATCATGCTTCGTATGAGTAGTGCAAGAAGAAGTGTGTCATCGTGACAGTGGGGCAGAAAACTTCTCGAGCGGCAGGCATGTCTCCACACTGAGCGAGCACGTGAGTAGTGGATTCCATCCAGATCTCTCCCGGATCTGCGAGTGGAACCTCTTCTCTGCTAAGTCACCGCGTGCCTTGAGCGCCACCATGAAAAGTCTGAGCGTTTGGCTGCCGGTTTGCTCGTAGCACTAAAGAGCAAAGGTTGTTCTCGGCATATCCCAGGAAACGATGTCTTGCTGCTCCATGCAAAGTCTCAGCGTTTGGAGGCAGCCCAGCTTCTCGTTGCATCTGATAGAAGACTTGCATGTTCGTGTTCCAGGCAACCAACGTCGTGTTTATTTGTCCTCCTGAACACTTCTGATGGTTCCACAGTCCACGAGGCTGCTTGCGACGAATGCATACGGCTTTGTATTCACAATTTGCGAGGTACCTATCCTGTTCTTCGTCCCATCCTGTTGAACAACCTGTGTTGCAAGCCGCAGTGTAGACTTCGACCATACTTTCACAATTGCACTTGCTTGAATGATGCTCTTGACTCTGGAGAAACTTATCTGGCCGCTATGCCCTGCACTGCTTCTTCTCATCGGAGCGCCTGCAAGAACACAGAGCAAAAGTATTACGTTACCTTTTCTCAAACCTTTCGTCTCAAGAAACTTCTCTGGCCTTTGGAGGTGCACTAACGTCTGCTCCCCTGGCACTCTAGAGGATAGCTCAGTCAAATCGAAACTTGCTCTATTTTCCAGTCCATGTTCCAAGCCACCTGTGCAATAACTTCCAAGTCTAGTGACTTCCACCAGTTGACCCTTGTATGTGATCTTCACTGTCCGTGAGCAAGAGCCTGCTGTCTTCTTGCTCTGCAACTTCATCTCCTTGAAGATTGTTTGTACACAATCTTCCATGTGACAACGCATGCACTGTGCTGACTTACGCGTCATTGCCAGTGTTGGCAGGACACTTTGAGGAGAATCCTAGAGTGCCATTGCTGTGCGAACCACGAGTGTGAGCTTCCAGCTGTTTCTTCTCAGTCGGAGGATCCTCCACCACAACTTCGATCTGCCACCCGGGATCCTGAAATATCACATTACTGCGCTGCTTCCTTCGAGATAACATCCATCGCACGAGCAAAAAGCACACGAGCAGCACCAAGATCGCAACCAAAACCCAGAGAAGAAGCTGGAGCAGCGACCACGGCGTCCTCCGAACCACTGTAACTACTGCTGCGGGTGTTGGTGTGGCCACTGCTGCGTCGTGACCGTCGCGATAACGATGGTGGTGGTGGTGGTGGTGGTTGTGGCGTCCTCCATGGTGGTGACCATGGTGATGATGGTGAACAACCAGAGGAGCTCCATCACCGTGATGATGATGGTACACTGCTGCTGCTGGAGCTGGATGGTGGTGGTGAGCATGATCGAGGATAGCAGGCGCTGGAGCTAGATGAGCAGGGTGGCCGTGAGCAGGGTGAACGAAAGCAGCTGGCACTGGGGCTCGATCTTGAAGAACTGGAGCTAAAGCTGGCGCTGGCTCGTGGCCTTGGTGTCCATGGTGGTGTGTTGGATGTGCTGGAGCTAGAGCTGGGTGATGGCCGCCATGCCAGGGCGCTTGAGCTCGGCGGGCAAGCATTGGGGTGGCGTGAGCGTGAGAGACCATAGCTTACCTGACGAGAGCTTCGACAATAGAAAAATCCAAGTGAGAATGATTATAACCTAACCTTTGATTTAGAAAAATAAAGAGGTACTTTTGGCTTTGTGAAAAAAAAAAACGAGTGCACTCAATGACGCTGTGGATTGTCAGCAAGGGTGCCATTGGGCTTGAGCATGCCAAAGAGCTCAAACCTAGATGTGAACAGCGATTTAATCTCACAATCACGAAATGCTCTAGGTACAAATATCATAATTCCATTAATTAAAGTTGATGGCAAATCCTTCTTAGGCTCAATCCTAATGGAATTATGGAAGTGGGAATCAAAAGGAATATTTCAAGGATCTGCTTCCAGATCTTTCTTCGAGCACATTCCTATACCTTTCTTTTCCATAAACATAATAAGAGAACGATTGTTCTTTACCAACGCAAAATTTTCACAAAACTAACAAATCAAAATGTAGCTTTGGGCTGAGATGAGCGCTCACGAGACCTGGATCTGGGTCACCTTCTTGGCCTCGGGCTTGATCTTGGGCACCACGACGATGAGCACGCCGTTCTTGAGCTCCGCCTTGATGCTCCCCTTGTCAACCTCCTTGGGCAGCACCATCCTCGTGTTGTAGCTCCGGCTGTCGCCAAACACGTCTCCCTCCGCGGCCTTGCGCTCGCCGCGGATCACCAGCTCCTCGTCCTCCACGCCGATGCTCACCTCCGACTTGTCCAGCCCCGGCATGTCCACGCGCATGATGAAGGCCTCGGGCTTCTCCACGATGTCCCATGGCGTCCTCATGCTCGTGCGCGGGGATAGTCCTCCCAAGGCGGCCGGAAAGGCAGCGGGGCTGTCAACGTAGCGGTCGATCGTGTCCAGCATCTGGCGGAGGCTCCTTGGCTCCCAGATGTCTGCCATGGAAAAGAAGAGGAATTTCATCAGCGATCAGTAAGAAAATGCGATGGAGTCACTGCAAAATCAGAGCGACGGCCGATCTAACCCCGGAACCAAGAGGACAGCAAGAACAGCAAGAACAACGCGAAGAGGGAGATGGCCGATCGAGCGCGAAATATGAAAAGAAACGATCCAAGAATCTCGTTAGCGGCCGATCTAACCCCGGAAATGCTAGACAACGCAATCGACCGATGGAGAGTGAAATGAGCGAAGTATCGAAAGAAGACCGATGATCCAAGGGAGAGCCGCGGATTTCTCACCAATGACCCCGAACGGGAGGAACGGCGAAACATCCTTGCGAATGCCCCGGCGCTGCTGATCCTGGGGTGCCTGCTGCGCCGCGGCGGCCGCGGCGGCGTTAGAGTAGCCGCGATGATTCGCCCTGGCAATGCACGCCTTGAGCTGCTTGGGAGAAACCCTAGCCACGATCTTGCTCGCCATAGCTCCGCTGCTGACAAACACAAGAGAATGGATCAAACCAGAAGAAAAAACCCTGGGGTTTTAAACGTCCAGCGGCTCGTCTAGAAGATTCTAGACAACCCTAAACCCACGCTAAGTATATACCTGGAGAATATGCGCATACAAATTTTCGCGCCCGTCGTCTCTCACGAATGCCAAGTCTTGTGATCGCCTGTGAGGAGATTTTGCCATCTCTTCCGGAGCGATCCAATCGCCTCCTCGTGAGGAACTGCTTGGATCAAAATCTTGCCCTCTTTCGGAAGCACCGTGATCACTCCTAGTCGAGAGAGTGTTTCCACGGCTTCCTTGACAGGCATTTCAATCTGGAAGAAAACCAAAGCAAGCCGGTGGATTTGCTTCAAAAACCAAAACCATGAGAAAGGCAGACCTGTTGTTTAAATCTGTCATTGACGTACTGTTCGCAAATCGATCCAACGTGATCCAGATTTGTATCTTCGTGTCTGAGACGGCTATGAAGCAGCAATCCATACAGCAAAACCGCTTGCTTGAACTGCAGAAAACCACGATGGTGATTTGGGCCTCCCGATGGTTTGGTGTGTGTGAGGAAAACCTGTTGCTCTTCCGAAGCATCGATGAGGAAATGCACGACTCCGAAACCACTCGCAAGAGTTTTCTCGTTGAGTCTCTTACTCACTAGAAGCTGGGCCGAAGGAAAGAAGGTTAATCTGTTTAGAAAGCCACAGCTTTACCTGGTATCTGTCCCAAGTTTGCTTGTAACCGAGGGACACTCTGGTGACGAAAACCAGCAGCGACACCGTTGCGACAATGTCAAGGATAAATGCGGACCTGGGAGATCACACTTTTGTAAGGAATGTTGCCACATAAAGGCTTACGGGGAACTTAAGAGGTCATCGAATCTGTAATTCACAAGAAAAGCAAGAAGCCCCGCAATTGTTGTAAGATCCAAACGAACCTAGTGCAAAATGGTGATTCCTACAATGGTAGAAACTTAAAAGCTGTACTTACTGTGTCAAGCAGTCTAAAGCTCAGCTTCTTGTTTGGAAACACAACCTGCAATTGTGAAAAAACACTGAGCTTTCTATGGTATAATTTTCACAGGAAGTAGCTTACCTTGAGATCGGGAACAGGAATGTTGTTGTAAGTGTTCAGCTCGAGCCTCAAATGATCTGATGGATCCACGCCAACGTGTACTGGAGCTCTTTCGTGCATCACAACGAGCTCTTTGAAAGCCGGTTCCTGCAAATCACCAAACTTTATTGCCTCAAATCCAGCCTCAACCATGAAAGCAAACCTCCAAGCTTGATTTTGTGAGAAAAACCGAGAAAACGTTTTTCAGCTTTTCCCAAACGCTGCTTCTCAGCTTGGATTCCAGAGCAGGAAGCAGTATGTCTCCCATGGAAACCCTGTTTAGATAACTTGGCCTGAAGAAAAAAGAGAAGGCTCAAAACTAAAGTTCTCTCTCGAGGACGAGAAGCTACCTTAGCGATGGTTCCTTTGTTGGTGACGATTCAGGGAAGAGATTAGTCACCTCGGTCTTTTCCGGCGGTAGAATTCGCATCCACGTAAGAAATCTCCGGATCAACTTGCCACGAGAGCCAGCAGATGATAAAACAGCTTCGTATCGTGGAACAGCTCGCTGTGCCGCGGCCCACATTGGTAAGTTGTGTCCCTGGTATTCGAACAACTCGTCGGGGGCCAAAGGCTCCTCAAGCCACTTTCGCAGCGCTTCCGTCCATGTATTCTCCACCTTTTGCTTCTGATCAAACATGCACCGAGAATGTGAAAAGAAGTAAAGCTTACGTTCATTTTCCCGAGCAATGGCCGTGCAAAGAGATAGAAAACCCTGCGAAGAATCCACGATTGCAAGTAGTCCAGCTTTGCACCAAAGAGAAAGCCTTCCTGCTTCTCAGTTGCGTAGCCGCGCCTGCAAAAAGAATAAAAGTTGGACATAGAAACTTTGGAAACAAAGAAAACAGAGAAAGAAAAACTTGGAGAAGAAAGGAAGAACAGTACCTGAAGATTATAACGTTGGCTGACGACGTGCTCTTCCAATCGATGTCGATCGGCAGCGTGAGGAGATAGTCGGAATTCAGAGCTGTGGTTAGCTGCAAGTCCCGTGCCGAGAGCTCTTGAAACTGCGCTCTCCGGAGAACGAGCATGATATTCTGCTGGAAGCGAGACGTCCTGTCCTGCCAAAGAGACCATCACTTAAACTCCTGGCAATGGCCATGAAAGTTTTTCTATCATGCCTGCTGGAAGGTGCTGCTGCCCTCCCATTCTCCTTGATGTTGAGCGTGCTCTTGCGGTCTTGCTGGGAAATGGCCGCAAAACTATCCACGCGAAGCTCCTCGAGCAGGGATTTGTGCTCGGCATGCAGGATAGACTCTAGGCAGCTGGAAGAATGCAAGAACTTCAATACAAAAGATTGCTAGTGATCTCTTTCTTCTATAGCTTAACGTGGAAGAACTTACACGAAACTTACGAGCAAATGGTGAGAAACTGGGATCTCCCCTCCTCGTCGTCGCCGGCGGAAGAACGCAGCCCTTGCGAGAGGCTTGTCACCAAATCGAGCTTCGAAACCTGGATGTACTTCTGCCTGGTGACTGGGATCCTGGTGACATACCCCTGGCTGCCATCGCCCTCGTAATCCTGGAGATCGAAAGCGCGCCTCGTTTCCTCCAGCTCAACGCTCGATTCAGCGAGCGGAATGGGATCCTGGCGCTTGAGACTAGCAACTTTCGGGCCGAGAATCCTATCCTGGTGGCCAGGGAGTGGAAGAAATCGCGAGCGCCAGGAGCGATTGCCATGGCCGGAGAGCGCCATTTGGCATTTGCCACGACACAAAGAATCAAAGTTTGTGGTTTTGATATCTACTCACACGATGGTCTCTCTCCTCTTTCTTTCTCTCTTGTCTCTAAGATCGCGAGGATCGTCTCGTCTCGTCTCGGATCCTCTATCCTGGGAAGCGTGTTCCAAAGATCCGGAAGCGCCGGCTCGTCCATGGCTGCTCCTTGTCCACATAGTAGGACTTGATGCAGCACGAGACGTATGGTGGCGTAGTATCCAGGCCATCGCTCGCGCACAGCAGCCTGCTGAAGCTCCTCTCGAGAGCGCCCAGGCAAGCGTCCTCGGCCTCCCTGCGAGCCGCGGGATAGCCATTGAAGAACCTCTCCTGTTGTCACACAAAGTTGGTGCTAGCGTGTTCTTGAGAAGAAAGCAAGCTTTACCCCGTCCTCGGCGAACAAGTAGGCGTGGATCTGCGCTGTGGGATCCTCCAGAGTGAGCTGCAGCTGGTACACGTACTGCCCGTTTACGCAGCGGCAGAAGTCGACTGCTCTGGGAGGATTTGCCGATCGCACGCGCACCAGGCACCGAAACTTGTATGTCACCTGAATCGCTACAAAGTTAGATGAAGATAGTCTCGCGAGTAGCAAACCTGCGGCCATGCCAGAACCTCCCTCAAGCTTGAGTAAGGAACGTGATCGTAGTCCGTGACTGCAAGCCCAACGCTGTCAAGTTCTTTCCAAGCAAGAAAGCTGCTTGCCTGTGAGTGATAGGAGCGGCTTTGGACAGTTTTCAGGCAATCCTGCCTCGGCGGAAGCAAGGCGGTGCTCGTACCACCTGAAGACAGCGTTTCCGGTGAATGACAGAAGGTTGGGATGAAATACCTTTCAGCTTCTTCCACATTTGGATAGTCAGAAGCAAGGATACTGATCTTGCTGTCCCTAGTGAAGACGCCTTCCAGCTTGCCCCCGCAGTTTCGGCTTGTTATGTTCCGGAACTTGACCCAGCTCCCGACTCGCGGAATCCAGTCCCCGTGTTCGTCGGAAGCAAAGTCGACAACGACTTGTAAGACGGTGCCTTTCGAAGGGAACTGCCGCAGTGTCACGAGTGGTAGCGATGGGCTCTCCACACTTCACAAAAGCAAGCTTATAAGACAAACCAAGAACAAAGCGGAATACTGACAAGGGAAGAGATGTTGTTGCTGGTGAATCCGTGCCATCCCAGACGTATACAAACGTAGGACAGTCGTCGGACAGCCTGCTTACGTGAAGCACCTGAAGACCCAAAGTAAAAAACAAATCTAGACAAGAAAACCATCAGCAAACCTTGCAGCACAAATCGAAATAGGAGTGGGGTTCTTTGATGTCTCTTATTCGGACGAGGTACTCAGTCGAAACTGATGAACAAGATGAGAAGAATGAGGAAAGAAAAGTAAAAAAGATCGTTACAAACATACGAGGCTTGGAAAGATGAGTGCTCCGCCATGCTCGCATCAAGTCCAGAATCCTTCGGTCGTGTTCCTCGAACGTGAATGCGTTGGACGAGATCTGATAAGGCTCGTTGCTGCCACCACTGCCGCCATCGAACACAGCAAATGCGGATGCTTTGCCCAAGCTGGCAACCGCCTGAGGCGATCCCTTGTGAATATCAATCTGAAAGAACCACAGAAAGTAAGAAGGCTAACTATCGGAGGAAAGCTTACCCGGACGCGATGGAAACGTATAATGTCGTGGAGAGCTCTAACGTAGGGGACGTGATCTTTGGAGCCGAACACGAGAACCCGCAAGCCGGGCGAGGACATATCAGCCACAGTCATCGTGCAGATCATGTCTAGCAGCATTTGTGAGAAACCAAAGAAGAGATTCAAGCAAAGAATGCGAGTACCTTTGCCCTTCGTGGGCTTTGGAAGCGAGTAGTCGATGACAACGCCATAGAAGTTTACCTGTTGCTCCACGGCGATGCAAGCGTCCTTGAGTTTCATGTATTCGTACTTCCCTTCTCCCTCCATGGCGCGCGTAAACCCTATCAAACATCGAACAAACCATGAAAAAAAAAACGAATTTGATTGAAGTAAAGAGTCTTTACATGTTCTCGCTGGCACTAGGACGACGCATCGTAGTCACTCGGTTTTGGTGTACTCGAGGAGAATGTGGGGGGAGCGATAGATTTTCACCAGCGTCCAGAACAATCCTTCTTCCAGTGCCAGTTCTCTTTCAGCGCGTGCCGCGTATATATCTTCGCAGATCGCTATCAATCTGCGAAAGCGAAGAAGCGGTCGACTTAACGCAAGCGAAAAGCATGAAAATCGATCAGCACAGACCTGTCGCACGATGGGAAGTTCTCGTACGGAATCCTCATTCTCAAGTCCGCGCACTGCAGCCGGATGAAACGACCGACTGCTAGGACGAAGGTGATGTACAAGCTCCAGATGTTGAATTTGCTGAGGGTGTCGCCGATCAGTCCCTCTGCATTGACACAGTTAGCCAGCCACGAAGCTTTACGTTTGATTTTACTTGGGACTTCCTCCGAAACCGCAATGGCCATTGGGCCGGTCACGTCTCCGCAAACACCGCTTGAAGATACGTTAAACGACCACCACGCTTGAGTTTCTCTATTCAAAGTAAGGTTGCCAGACACAGTCGCGGACTGTAAAGCAGGAAACGTTAGAACACATAGAAGAGATAGTTTCGACACTTACGGTTTGCTCTAGCAAGCGAGCTTCTCCTCCGCTTGTCACTCTAAAGTACCTCGGATAGAGATCGGCCACAAGGATAGAACTGAGTGTTCCATTTAGGACCTCTTGCAACTGCTTGATCGCCAAAGGAAGCCCGGTGAAGGTGGCAGTCTCCTTGCTCTTTGGCCTCTCCCGATGGAAATTCCAGGATGGAACCAGTAAAACTCCCTCAGTGAAAGATTTCACCAGATTTCTCAGTGTCGGCGGTGGTATCAACCAAAGTGAGTCAGCATCCTCTTCACAGCACACCATCTGTACGTCCTTGCTGTCGAAGGAATCGAGAGCGTTGTCGACATCTATGTCATATCCACTGTCTAATATATCTGCCATTGAATGTAGATTGCAAAGCTGACTCCTGTAGAATGTAAAGCTTCCACCAGCGGTCCTGAGACTGATCTCAAAGTGTGCTTCCGTGATCTCGTTCACGAAGTTGGTAGGATTTCCGCTACTATAAATCTGTAAGAAATCATCATCAGCTATCACAATCAACCATGGGAAGTTCTTTACCAGCATTGGAGCCCAGATAACGCAGATCAATAGAAGGAAAAGGCAAACACCATTTGTAAACTTGACCCAAATACTTCGCTTCTGTCCCAGCTGATGCTTCTCTCGCGCAAGTTTATTATCGCACTGCACCAAAAAGAGGCTGGCATAGATATCTTCCAGCTGCACAACGGTCGTCAGACATCTAGTGACGAAGGTAGAAAAACAAATCGTGCTTACCTTTAGCCAATCGTACATTGAAAGAGAAGTTGTTGTGCACGACCAGTCGAGTACGCACCGAAGCTCGAACAAGAAAGGCAAGGATCGGTATATACGAAAGCCAAGCCAGCTCAAGCTGTTGATCTTTCTCGTCAAAAACTGCTCGTACAGCGTGTTTTTGTGTGGCAAACCAAATCGCAATTGCTGTGCCTGAAACGCCAGAGATAAAGCTTTGAGAAGGAAGAAACCACGAAGCGGAAGAAGCTGAAAGAATGTCCCAGTGTTGTTGTGCTTCAGCTCCATTCCCCAAACAAAATTTGTTATGTAGCCCGTGAAAAAAATGAGCGTAGCAAAATAGTAAATCACTTTCCCGGTTGCAAACGCACTAAGATACAGTACTCTATCCAGTACTATGAGGAAGAACAGCGTCTGCATAAATGCCACACGTTAGTCGAAAACTTGACGACGAGAAACCTTACGTACAATGAGGGCGAAAACGTATTCTTTTGGAAACTGATCCTCGAGCTGGTAGACGTCGAGAAACTCTGGTGTGCTCTTGATGAAAGATTGGTAGAACAATGCCATGTACATGAACGCGATAAGGTCCGTGCCGAAAACGTAGGCGTAAAGATCAACTTGTCTTCTTCCCCCAGCGATGACAGATAGAATGGGATATGGAAAGTTGGCCTGTTCGAGCAACCCGTCCTGTTTGGCCTTGACAATCTCTGTGGCAACGTCCGAAGCCGGAGTCAAGGATGTGAAGAGGTCGCTAACAGGCCCTCCCAATGCAGGCGCTGCATGAATAACTTCCAGCATAGCGAACGCGGTAGACTCGTCCGTTCCACACTCTAGGCTCTCCACACGCACCCGGCTAGCGTCTTCGAGCACTGCACCGCTGCTGCTGGAGCTTTCGTACCTCACAACTATTAGCAGCCGGTTGAAAGCGGTCTCAATTCTCTCCGGCTGTATACCGTGTTCGGACCACTTGGAGACGGACAGCTTTACTTGAACGAAGTGAGGAGGGACTTCGGAGCCGCTCGTAAGAGAACGCCAGCACTTCAAGACGGTTTTCAGGCTTCCAATGCAGTAGCCGGCAATCCACGTCCAGAACTTCCCGGCTGAAAAGTTCTGGTTTGGATTTTCCAGATCGGGCGAACGTCGGGAAGTGAAGAAAGAATTAGAGTCCGTGGCAAGCATCCACTCCCCTTCACGGTCTTTGATAGAGTTCTGGACCAAGGTGGCTAGATAGACCAGGAAGAGCGGTAGAACACTCGCCACAAACGACCGGTTCATGTTTCTTCCTGGAATCCCGATCTGCTTCAACCATGATGGAAGTTCGTCGTGGCCACAGTGGTTTACCAGTGTCTGGTACATGTACTGAAGCAGGATGAGGATTTCTGTGTACATAAGCATTGCTGACCAGAATAGTTGTGTTGGTCCTGGATTCACCAGTAGAGCGTAGAGAAACAGGCACGCAGGATACACCAAAGTAAGGAGGCTGAAGTTCCATACGTAGACAAGCACGAAAAGCACGTAGCAGACAACGTCTGTGTTTGCAAGGACCAGTGAGTAGACGTAGGTGCTTAGAATGCTCAAGCGCTGGCGTGTTTCAAACATAGGAGACTTCTGATCTTCAAGTTTTCCAGGAGAGATGTGCTTGGGTAGTCGCCTTTGATCATCACCTTCATCAGCAGAAGAGCTGCCTGCTTCATCGGAATCTGGATTTTCAATGTTGAGAAGCCCGACCAGGTTGGCGAGTGCCTTGTTTCCGATGTCATGCATTTGCGCGACACCGTTTTCGAGGAAGGAAACGCCAGATAGAAGACTATGCTTCATTGAGGGTGTCTTCACCATGCTGTCTTCTTTGTCCAGGTTCTGTAAGATAATTCCCCTGTCCAACACCTCAGGTTTTATCTCGTTGTCATCCTGTTCCAAAAAGAGTTTCCGCCTCCTTCTACAAGAATCAGCACCAGAGTCACGACGGTGTCCAGAGTGATCAAGCAGGGCACTGTCCGAAATGGAGTTAACCAGCCGAGAAGGAGTCCCAGAGGCCGCCGCATCCTTATTTGGCAAGAAACGAGGAATGTTTGATGGAGAAAACGCTTCCCTGAATTTACTCGCAGAGTTCAGCACGTCCAGACGTAGCTGTAGGGGAACCATTTCCATCTTCATCTTATCCACCTGTAACCGCCTCTGTGATTTCTTTTCTTCTATCTCTCGAACTCGTTGCAGCTGCTCCTTCTTCCATTCTGCTTTTCTTTCGTGAGCACAGGCCAGCGCTTCAAACTGCTCTGCCGCGAGATAACGAAGGACCTGCTCGAACTCCTTTGTTCTGAAAACTCGAGACTGCAAGCTTACAAGGCAGAAAATTGTAATGTCCACGAGAGCAGAGCGGGCTGTGATCTTGAAGCCGTAGTCATATTTGTAGAGACCAAAGATGCTTGACGGCGAGCAACCAGCTACAAATCCAAAGAAAGGCGCTTGGAAGACGAGCGACGCCACTATAAGACTGAAATTGTATAGCCTCAAGAAGAGAAAAATAGTGTTTCGTCTCCTCATAACTGTAGTTCGCATGTGGAAGAATACCATGGAGAATGCGAGGTAGCCGAGGTGCAAGAGGTCATATTGTAATGTTCCCGTGATGAAAACTAGCAGCAAAACAGCGTGTAAAAGATGGCGATAGAAAAAGAAACGAAGATAGTCCAGCCATGTCCAATGAACCGTCGTCTCGTAAGACATCTCTGCCCAGGCTACCCTGTGTGTTGCGGATATGCCAGTCCACTGTAGTGATACAGTTTCGAGCAACTTATTTGCCCGAAGCTGGAAAGACGTAACGATGAAGACCATAAAATATGCAACTAGCACCTGCCTATCGTCCACCATACCTGTACCAAAAAATAAATTAAGTTAGTTCGATAGAGTGAGTTGCAAATCCAACTTACCAAGCCAGCAACTCCAACAAAACTTCGACTTTCCCTTCAAGTCAGCCCAGCAATCGTGACAACGTTTCGTTGATTCATTTGAAACACTCCAAGGTGGCGGGAGCTTTGCCAACGTTGCATACTCGTAGAGGAGTACGCCGGCGAACAGAACTGTGAAGGCAGGCCATAGCGGACGAAGCCATTTCTTGCTCAATATAATACATAGCGCGAGTATGAGAATATATAGCAAAGAAAAGACGTTGACAACGGCAAACGCTGCGACCAGAAGGCATAGCATGATCATCTCGACGCCGAATATTGTGAAAAAATTCTCGAGTATAAACTTCCCCCACATTTTCAAAGCCTGGCATTGGGCTTCGTAAGTCTCCTGCTTCATAATTAGCGCTCGTCTACTCCATTTCCTGCTTTCCTTTGGTGTCAGAGAAGGAGATCTGTGGACATATTTTTTACTATCAGGCGCTTCAGCGTTGATAACCTGTTCCGGTTTCCGTATAAGAGGTTCATCAAGACGAGGACTGTGGGGTTGGACGCGATGGAATGTGGCCTGACGACGATCGTCGCTGTCTGCTCTCCCGCTGAATGGTAGAGAAAACAGCATGCATGGCTCCTCGTTTCGTCGTAAGGAACTTGGTACTTGTTCTAGCCATTGGAAGGAGCAGTATTGCAGCATGCAAGCCAGTATAACCAGTGTCTTGCTGCGGCTTCCAGCTTCAATACCCCAGGGACCTTCCTCGTATTTACGAAGTCCTAGCCAGTGTATAAGGTCGGCATTTTGCGCCAAGCAGCCATCCTGCCTATCAACCAGCTGGAACAGATACTCGAGAAATAAAAGCAGCCCAGTATACGCAGCGAAAAGCTGAGAAGATAAAGGAGAAGACTTCGGCACGGCACAGGATATCACCAGCATAATAAGGTAGACAAATCCGAAACCGCCAACCGGAAAAATAGAAGCATAAAACACGGCGACAAACAAAACTTTTCCACTGTGTAGTATAAGGAGCCGCTTTACGAAGTCAGGTTGCTCATAAAACACGGAAAGTGAATGGAGTCTTCTTCCAAGCAAGACTGGGATCGCTCAAATCTGTAGAGCTGCAGGACAGCTAATATAGCTAGAGAATCCCATACGTGAAGGAAGAGAGACGCGTTTCGATCAAAGCCCAAGTCACCCTTCAAGTCCACGAGTTTCTCAGCAAATGGCTGCAGGTCGGGAAAAACGCTGAGAAGGTACCGCAAAACAAAAACCAAGCATGTGTAGAGGAAAAGTGGAGACCATAATATCCATTCTGTTTTCCCGAGCACTTGTCGACCAATAATCCAAAAGAGGAGCAGAGCAAGGAAGCCAAACGCAATATAATTTGGCTCCGCTGCATAGACTGTAATGAGGACTGTGGCGTATACGATATATGTTCCAAACGAACGGTAAGTTGCACGAAAATGCTCACCAACAGTAGCAAGGTGATTAGTAATCCAGTTTTCTGCAGGGAGAAGCTGTGTGAAATTAATGGTTGAAACTAGATGCTTACCAGTAGGGGAAGGTTCGAAATTATATGCAAAGGATTTTGAACCGTAAACTGATAACACATAAGGCCTGTATTTCAGAGCACTCTGACGTGCCACTGCTGACAGAGAGCTTATCACTTTGATTCCATGATTCTGAACTGCAGAAAAGCACAATAGAGCTGCCACAGGTATGTAATCATGATATGTTGCCTTGTTCCATATCCCTGCAAGTAATTCCAATCGGAGTTCATTAACCAGGATTGAGTCACCCTTACCTAGTTGAGAGAGAACGGGCTTTAAGATTTTACTATGAGCAGTGATGAGTGCTGAAATCGATTGGAGTTGCAAGATGTAAAGAATAGAAATATGCAATTCGCAATAAAGCATGAGATATTGGCGAGTTTTTCTCGCCACGGACGAGCTAAGAAGATAAACCATGAAGAATATCACTGCACATAAGAATGTTTAGGAAAAGCCTAGAAAGAAACGTGTGTACTTACTATACACCGCATGAACAAATCCACTTCTAAGAGCGACTATAAATATAAGAACAAGTGATATCACATGGGTGCTTCTTCGTAGGCACCATGCTATCACCGCAATAAACAGAATCCATTTCTTTCTTAGCTCTGAAAGAAAGAAGTGAAGTTAGATAGGAATGTCCACGATAACAGAATGCATACCATCCTCTCGAAAGGTGTCATCTTCAGCGATTCCTTCTACTTCATTGGCACTCTTTAAAATGCTATTTCCCACAAATAAGTCAGTCGCAACAAGAACACCGAGAGCATATTGGGCCAGAAGGAAAAGTCCAGGTGATGAGTACTTCCAAAGGCCAACTGTCTGCCAAATATCGACGTCCTGCAAATTCACTAGATATAAAGCCTGTCACTAAAGAGTTGCTAACATACCATCTCAAACCTGGTGGCAAAAACTGTGAAGCCCGCATTGAAAATATATGTACATGATGCCCAAGTGAGTATAAAACCAAGTAGCAATCCATTTAGGCGACGTAAAAGGAACAAAGATGGAAATATGTACAATATAATTCCAACATACAGTAGTAGGAAAAACGCGCAGAAACTTGCGAACTTAAAACTCCAGCAAACAAGAGCGAAAAGGCAAATCTAAACATCAACAGCCACCCGTTAGCTTTGATCACCAAAAACCCAAAACAACCTACAGGAAAGCCACATGCGAAAAAATACATAGCGACTTTTTTGAAAACAAGAAAACGTTGTTGCTCCGATATCCACCATTGTCTTGATCTACAACCAAAAGCGATAAATCAGAACCACTAAAACGTGTGTAGTACCTGGCGCTTCTTGGGGAGTTTAAAAGGCCTTGATACAGATTATCCTCGTTTGCAATCAAAGCCTGCTTTACGTGGTATAAGTCCTTCAAATCTCCAATTGCGAAGCATAGCTACATATACAGTCACATAAATGAAGTGAGTTTCAAAATGCTTACCAATACAAAGAGTGTTAAAATAGAGATCAGGTGTACTCCTTTTGCCCAATTCATTTCCGCTGATGAGGTTTCAAAGAGTCCGAGATAGTCTACTATGTGTAGAAGCCGCGTCGGAAACGAAATTGGTAATTGGCGAACATAGAAAATGATAATGTGCATGGTGTTGTAAACTAGTAAAGGTTGCCATCCCCTAAATCGACACAAGCATTTTAGAAAATTCTAACAAGGAAAAAGATGGAGTTTCTACCAAGAGAGCCCGAAGAAGTTGCCGGTCATGGACCAATGAAAAAGCCCAGTGCAACTACAGACGAAGTAAGGGAAAGCTGCCCAGCATGGGAAAATAGATCCCGCGACTATCTGCAGCGTTGGAAGAACGAAATTCCGTAAGAAAGCTCTAACTTCAAATGCGTCAAATTCTACACGCGGAAGATTCACAGACATAAGAACAAAAATATAGATGAATGTAACAAGTTCACCTCGAGGTCCAAATTCGATCCGTCTTCGCCAGCGTAGCCCATACAAAGAAACTACTCCAACGAGCATTTTCGGTAGGAAAAATAAAAGAATGCCATCGGAATGCTCGAGCCTGTAACATGCACAAGCATGAAAATACCGATCTTCATGCAGCAAAGACATCGAAATACCTTGAAACACCAAAAACTTTTGAGATGGACGACTTCCAGAACCGCCAGTCCCTTCCGACTGTAGCCTGTAGCAATGCAACAGTAACCCCGCAAATTGTTCCAAGCAGAGAAACTCCCAGCGACATCCACAAGGATTGCCATGGTTTTCCAGATTGGACTACACAAAACCATATAAAAGAGCAAGATCATAATGAATCGGAGTTTTATCTTACCTTGTCCTTTAAGTTCGTATTGGAACACGAGAAAACTGACCAGGAACAAGAGGGAAATCACGCTCCAATTCGTGAATGCAGCTGACAGAAGAACTATCGAGAGGCTGAGAGCAATCACAAAAACGCGCATCGTCCTGGCCACACGAGAAATCACGCATTATCCCTGTAGATCGATCCAGCTCCCAGAATGCGCTGGCCTGGAGATTACCCGGCGCGATCCAGGAGAAGATTCTGGCGCTCAATCCAGAAGAGGCGCGGTGGATCCGATTCACGGCATGGCTACACGCAACTCGTTGCTGGCATAAACCCTAGAAGAGCTGTTATTGGAGAGTACTCTGCCACATTCCTCCCTCCCTTTCTCTCTCTTCACACGCTAAAGCAACGCACAGCGTCGGTGCGACACGTGGCGCAACCTGGCCACGGCGATTTAGCTTAATCCAATGGCGTGGGAGATGACTGAGAGGATGGCCCCAAACACAGCACCGGCGAGAACTTGGGATTTTGTGTGACCGGTCGATTCTTTGAGTGGAATGTACTGCCATCCATCCTCGCTCCCGAGTTCTTGGATCGACACTTCGCCCTCTTTCATGCTGGGAAGATTTTGCGCTGTCTTGAAGAACTTCGTTGATCTGGAGAAAGGCCCATTGTTGCTGGAATCCACTTCTCTCTCGAAAGCGTTTGATGATTTCGTAGCTCCGACCGGTGCCTCGACGAGCAATTCCGGCCTCGATGATCGGGGTGCTGGTTCTTTCGAAACTTTGTACTGCGCGAAGGCTATTGTGTTGAGAATCTCGGCGTGTTTGCCGACTTCTCTCCGGACCCCCTGAGATTCCAATGCTAGAAAAAAAAAAACAAAGACAACAAAGATTTTTTAGAGCACGAACCTGTGCGTCGTACATGACAATCCCAGCGACTACCATCGCGAAGCCGAACAGCGAGTCCGAAAATCCCCTGGAACCAAAACCCCGGCTTAAGACAACCATTGGCATCGCGAAGAACTCACCAGTTGAGAATAGATTTACCTCTCCAAGCCAAGAGCAGTCGCGGCGGCAACCATGCTCTATGCAATAGAACAAACGTCACAAACTGGCAAGAAAAAGAAAGAGATGAAAAATCGCACAGCGGCATGAGCGGAGGGTGTTCCACCGGATCTGAGCATGAGCTTCCAATTGAACCCTTTCCCGGCTACAGCTGCAGTCAATGGCTTCACGAGCTGAGCGGACAATCCAGCGAGAGCTGCGCTCGCCAAAACCTGGCAAAATCTCAAGGAATCAGGAAAATTTCATCCTAGGATTGTCCAGCTTACATGATTTTGAGGTATTTCTTCCAGCAGGCCGGC